TTAAAGTTAAATTTCCCGTAGGTACTTTAAGTTGGAATCACCTGAAACCACCTGAAACCATCTGAAACCACCGATGAAACCACCTGAAACCCCCAAGGAAACCATCTGAAATTACCTGAAAATATCTCGAAACAATTTAAAACAACATGAAAGCACCTAAAAAATTACGGGTGACATCAGAAAATAAGTGTTAACAATCGAGTTTATCCACAGGGAGCCCGGCTTACGGATATCGTATATAATGCCCTACAGTACAGAATAGGCACCACAAACAGGTCTTCAAGGAAACATTCCATTGTTCTTGTTGAAAACACACTCAATTAGCTCTACGAATGGCTGGGAGTTGCACGGGAATATGCGAATTCATTTCTTGACAAAGCACTTGCGTGACAATAACAACATGCGATCGCGAATGCAAAGAAGAAACTGTTTTAAATCGAAAGAAATACGTGAAGTTTTTTCAACGGGATCATGCAAATTATATATGAAAAAGCCCAGGAAGGCCTGAAGATTTTCAAACTTCCTAAAGAAATTTTGAACATTGTGTTTCTTATAAATCAAAGACGAATTTATAGCGTGACCTAGAATTTCACTGACTTTGTTTTTGCAAAAGTGAAATATATGTGGATATTTGCAAGGTATTTTACTGCAAATGACAGAATATAGCTGATGAATGGTGGCTTTAACTTCCACTGCCTAAGTAAATTTCAGGTGGTTTCATTGGTTGTTTCAGATGGTTTCAGATGGTTTCAGATGGTTTCAGGTGGTTTTAGATGGTTTCAGGTGGTTTCAGGTGATTCCAACTTTTAGTACCTACAGCTAGCCAGGCTTCTGTTCTAAGCCTTGGACTTTCAGCTCAATATGCTATGGTTTCCCACTCACCTTTTGCTGCTCTGGCTTGATTCTTGCTCCAACATGAGGGATATTATCATAGGTAATTTCAGCCGGACGGACTGGATACTACAATGCAAACATTTTGAGTCAGATCATCATTGTTATACCAAGAAAAGAAAAGAAAAATCTCAATCATTCTGAGACCCACAATATAATGAAAATTAATACCTAAATCCATTGGAGTGAGACAAAAGCATTCACCTTAAGTTGCTGTAAGAGTTAAGGATCAAATTGTCTGACTATGTTCTCTGTGGCTGTAAGAACTTTCAACTTTCCACTTGAACCAAAATTTAGTAAACTATCAAACCAGCGCAGCTCTCAAACTTAATTTAAATTTACGAAGTCAACATGCCCTTCTGAAAATCAAAATTGAACTGTGCGAACCTTTTATCGCTGTTACAGCTTTATCTTAAATATCATGCTCAAGGGTCGACAATCTTTTGCTAATGTCAAATATTAAATGTATACGGAAAGATTAATTATGTCTTTAAAGAGTAAGAAGTACCTGGAACAAGTAGAGGTTATTGGCCAAGGTCTGGGCCAAATAAACGTCCACCTGTGGATGTATACAGAGATTTTTGTCCCATATGACTGCTTTCCCACTTAAATGGTACATTTTTATCTCCAATAACAATGCAACAAACCTCTGCCACAACCGGATCGTCATCCTCATCATCCGCCATGTTTTCCCACCATCATGTTGCGCATGCGTAATTACCTCGTGCGGCAAAAAATTCTAAAGATGGCCCCAGGCTTCTGATGAAATAGATGCGTCCGCGACTTTCAAAACTCGCTGTATCCTGGCCTTTCGTTGTTTGAGGGGCCGTAAGGGGGGTCCTTCACACGATTTACGACTATTGAATATAATAAATAACGAGTCACGGTAATCAATATTCTTATTCACGCTTCACGGTAAATAACATAATGTTGAAAAAAAAAGGTTTTTAAAAATTTTTGAAAACCTTAGTGTGATTTCCTCCTTATGTTATGCAAACCGTCAATTGTGATGTTTTTCTTCACGCTATGGCGCCTTTTTGCAGGAAGAAGATCATAGAGCTAAGTATAGATATGATGTATTCATTGTGGTCTACCTATTAAAGTTTTGATGTAACTTGAACAGTTCTTCCGCTGCGAGTTGTTGCGGCGTGGATAAATACCGTCTTATCTTCATGGTCTCTTGCACGGTAGAAGTTCAACATCACAGTCGGGGCTGTACTTATCAGTCTGGCTATCCCTTTCTTATCCTTTTTTTCTCGTTGCCATGTTCCCACCAATAACGTAGCTCCATTTTCTGCCTTTAAAAGCACACACGACCCACAATTCCTCTATTCGCTCCGACGAAGGGCTAACACTCGAAACGTCAGCTTTTGTAATCGTTACGGTGGCCAATTTACCATTTCAACTTTGTTGATACATCCAAATTATCCCTTTCCACGGCGTCGTTACCTTGTTTTGATGTTTGCCGCTCTGATTCCATCTTGCCTCTTTGTTTTCCTCCTTTTACCTGCTTTGAGCCTGTTGGTTCTTTGCCTGACACTGAGTTTTACCGTTGCTTGCTACCCAGTCTAACATGATTTTCCATTCACTTTCATTCAATTTTCTGGCTAGATCAAAGTGGCTTATCTGATAGTAAGACTTCTCATGTGTGAAGCCTGTTTATGCGGCTCACTGTACAGCCCTCTTGATGCTCTCATAGGCCGAATAATGTAGCAGAGTAGGAAACTGTTCTTTAACGTGACCCACAACATGTAAGTTGCCCACTTGAAAACCCAGACAGATTATTGCACGTTTCCTGAGATACCCTGATCAAGAGAAGGTCATGTTTAACGCCAGAAAACTCAAAGGAAAAGACTTTGGGATATCGCCGGATCTTCCATAAGAAATTATGGAGCGCAGAAAGAAGAAAATGAAACCGTTCAAGAAGGCTGAAGAAGATGGTAATACCGCCTACTTTAGTAGGGCAGAGCCTGATAAACTGTTTATTGACGGTGTTCAAATATAGAATTGTGGCTAATACCAAAATTCAGGCCATGTACAAAGATGTTTATGTATTCAAATTCAAGCAATGTTTTGCTTTCAAAACCGGAGTTTTTTTGTAATCTTATTGTTTCTACGTGTTATAAGAATTGCAAGACCCTGTTTGTTAGTAGCTTTTTTAAATGCTTTTGCTGGCTACTTTTTTAAATTGTTTAGCTGTATGTCGTTCTGTCTTTTTCCTTTTGTTTTCAACCTTAGACGTTAATGTACTAATTGCTTATTGTACTAGTGTGGGCGGCTTGCGCAACACCTATGACTTGATCTGCCCGTGTGAAAGGGCTTTTCAAAATATTCATTTCTCCGCTTGTTTTATAAATTCTGACTGTTGTGTCTTAATGCAGAAAAGTGACGCCAATCCTTGGTTAAAACGGCCGACCGAACTTTAAAGTGCACCTAAACCCAAAAATTTTTTCCGTTTAACGTAATAAGCTTATTTATTGGAGTATTTCTGTGCAAAAAATTTTTAATTTGCTCAAATCTTTAATTTTCTGTGCCCAGTCAAAATACGGAAAATCGGCCGCCATCTTGCCCCACGACCGAGTTTAAAGAGGAATGGCTCTAGCGGGTAACGTGACGTCACTAGGAATGGAAAATGTTTGTTGACGTCACATTACCAGCTAGAGCCATTCCTCTTTAAACTCGGTCGTGGGGCAAGATGGCGGTCCATTTTCCGTATTTTGACTGGGCACAGAAAATTAAAGATTTGAGCAAATGAAAAACTTTTTGCGCAGAAATACTCCAAAAAATACGCTTATTTCGTTAAGCGAAAAAAGTTTTTAGGTTTAGGTGCACTTAATGATCACTACCTAAACTAGAGTTACACAATATATCACAACCTCAATATGCATGCAACTTAGCTGTATATGTTTACTCTCTGGGACCTCTCATGTCATGCATCTTACACCTAGTGATGGTTCCTATTATTTAAACCCTAACTCATTACCACTGTAACATTAATTAAACCCTAGTTCATTAACACTATAAAACTGACACCGCTTTCGTATTTTATGAAACGTAGCTTAAATTTCAAAATGTTATCTTTAAATGTTCCAGGGATTCGTTCTCTTGACAAAAGGAAAGCGTTATTTAATTGGCTTGCGAATCCTTTTACAAGAAACCCTATCCTTTTACAAGAAACGTACAGTACTCCAGAAGTTGTTAACTTGTGGAAAGCACCATGGAGGGGAGATATTTTCTTCAGTCACGGTTCGGAACACAGCAAGGGAGTTTTGATTCTTCTCAAGGTGAGTTCTGATTACGAAATCAAGGTCCATGTTAAAGATGAGCAGGAGAGATTTGAATAAGTG